AAGAATCTCTAAAGAATTTAGCCAAGCATGGCTAAATTATACATAGCAAATATTAATAAAGAAAATACAAATTATCAAAAGAGTACAAGAATGAACCAGACGATTCTCTCGAATCTCCCTAGTCTTCTTCTTGCTTCCCAAGATAACTTGTGACTCTTGATTTCTCCCTGTCTTGTCTCCAAAGATCTCTGAATATGAATTCTGTATTATGTCCATTAGAGTTGAAATTAGAATTTTCCTAATTAATTTTGGAAAATGCCGAATGTTGAATTTGGAAAATTCCTCAAACTAATTTTCATTATTTCATGGCATGGGGGTTAGCACCTCTAAAGTTGGTAAGCATCACCTTTAATTTTGCTGAATGCCATATATTTTAATAAGAAAGAGACCTTTAATTTGTATTAGGAAACAATTTGCTACTGCGTCATTCTCGATTTCAATTTCAGCACCCTCGCTCGACGCGTCGAGACCTCCTGATCTCAGCCAAAATACTTGCGGGAAATTTTTGACGCATCGAGCCTCCGGCTCGACACGTCGGGAATGCTGTGTAAACGCCATTCGGTCAACTTTGACTCCAAATTTGTCCTAGGACTTCCCTTGCTCATAACTTTGACCTACAATGGTTCAAAAACACTAACAAACACCGTAAAACATTCAAAATAAGTGTGAACCATAAATAAATAATAAAATAAAGAATTATGTCAATAAATTACCAAAATCATGAACCTAAGTCTAACAAATATAATCAAATTAATACTAAAATTATGCACAAATAGGCTCACATCACCTACACGGGAACAAACACTCTTCTATCAGCAATACCAACAACTTTTTCTCACCGTTCAAGGCAGACATTTCAAGTCTATCTTCCTTAGGGAACTCTTCCTCTTGTAAGAACAAGTTAGTAAGAAGTAAAAAACGAAATCGTTAAAGAAAGATTAAAGTTTAAAGTAGAAGAGATAGTTCTGAAAGTAGCGTTTAACGCCAAGTAAAGTAAGAGCGGAAGGAGTTTATCTTCGTTAAGAAAGAATTAGAAAAAAAAAATCCGATTTGAGTTTACGTTGGATCGAGCAATCCTGAAAAGGAATTGAAAAGTCAGAGAATTGACTAGAAATTGGGATTTTATAAAGTCAAGGACTATACCCAATTTTGACCTTAATTGGGATTTGGACAAAGTCAGAGGACCAAGAGAAGTTGGGGCCGGATATCCGACCTAAGGAGCAGGCCTTGCCCACCTTCCGTTACACAGAACGTGGTTACGAGTGTTGTAATGGCCCGTGACCTGACGCCGTGACAGAAGAAGGCTGACACGGACTAGGGAGCAGAGCGCGTGTAGTGCTGTTGCCGAACCCTTCCAATAACTTCAGTTTTACTTTTTCCAGTTTTTGCCCCAAAAAGGAATCAGATTGTGTTGAAATCATCTTCTTCCCCTTTCCTTTCTGCGTAGCTACTGCCTCAACCTCAAGAAATTTCCATCTTCTTCAAATCATCAATTTTATTCCTAGAAAATTCAAGAATTCATCCTACAAGCCATCCTAAGTACAAGGAAAATATTAGTGGAGTCATCTACTTCTTCGCCTCAAGTTCAAACACAAGAAGTTGGATAGCAATGGCCAAACGAAAGAAGCAAGTGGAGGAGACTAGCCATGAAGGTTCCAACTATTTGGTCATTGGAGGTTAAACTTATTTTCCTGAGCACTTTTCTGAAAGCTTTAATCGGATGTTAGAAAACGAGGGTTATTGAGGAAATTTCTAAGGATTCAGGAGGAAATTTATCCGGATTTAGTTATTGAATTCTATGAGAACCTGTCTACCAAGCACAAGAAGGGAGTCACAAAGGTTACCTCTAATGTGAGAGGTACCAAGATAGAATTGACATCACAAAAGTTGGCTAGTTGGTTTGATTTTCCGTTGAGTGGGGTAGATACAGATGATCGGGATGATTGGATTTCCTATGATAGGGTGACCTACCTTGAATATCTGCACTCATATTCTCGACACTCTTGCCCATACTTTTCAAAAGTATTTCTAAACAACACTTTAACCTTCAAGTCTCATAACAACACAAAATTGCACCAAACTTTCTCAAGCACAAAAGTCAACAAGTACTAAGCCAGAATATAAAAAAAAAAAAAAACACTTATTTTTTAGTTTAGAGTGTTACCTTTCTCCAAATCGCGTCCTCCAACCTAGGTCTACCCCATAACCATAATCCTCCCTGGTCTGGCTCCAAAATTGAGGATGTTATAGTAGGTATCAGAGCCTAGGATGTTAAGAGTTGGACTCTAAGAACCTAAGTTTGAGCTTAGGTTAGTGCTTGTAGATTGAGACTTTCAGATACATAGGGAAGCCTTTAAGTGTTTAAGTACCTAAGCGTAGGATTCTTAGGACGCGCGGTGAGGATGTGGGTTACCTTTTTGTTATCTGTGTAGCTCTCTTATCTTGTTCTTTTGTTAGCGTTAGTAGCTGCAGTTGTTGTAATCGTTTGGTGTACGCCTTCGCGGTAAGTTTCCTCATTCTAATTTTCGCTAACCTTAGCTAAGTCTGTGTTTGAGAGAAGAAGAGCTTGGACGTCCTATGGTGCAAAGAAGTGAAGCAGTGGTGGATACATCTAGACAGTTGGTCAACTCGAAGGAGAAGATAGACTGCTTGACGTGCGACCGGGAATCAAACACAACAATCCCTGTTCAAGCAAGTGGCGCTGTCTCTTGTACGACATCGTCATCAGTTCTACGCTAACCTTCCGAGTTGAAGTCTAAGTTTCGCGCAGCTGAAGCCTGACAAGAAGCAAAGACATCGATTGAAGTTTAAAGGTCAAGACTTGAAGACCCTCACTCACGAGGGAACGTCAGGAGCAGTCACAGACGCTCTAAGAAGAGATCAACTCACGCCAAGCGGTCGTTCGTAGATCAACGCGATAGAAGCTTCCAAGAGTTAAAGAACTAAGAGTCAACCTTGGACTTTTTAAAATGCGAAAAGTTGAAGTATAAGCTCAAGGCGTTCAACATGGAAGTAGTTCTACCTACCTCCGAAGAAACAAAGAAGGGGAAAGTTCGAAGCAATGAACTTGGGATCAATAAGGAACAGGATGGCTAGGAAGGAAACGCTTGGACCTTTAAGGTACACGAAAAAGAGGAACAATGTTATTAGTAAGTCGTCTGATCATGTGTAATGGGAAGAGACCAAGAAGTAATTTGTAAAGGAGGACATCATATACCCTAATCGGCACGCCTTGAAGGTGGTGGCTAACATGAAGACTTAAAGGGAGGATGTTGGCAATGAGAAGGAGAGAAGAAACAACCAAAGTTATACCCAACTGGTTGAGTTGTCAAAAGACTAAAGTCGACGGGAACCAACCTAAAAGTGGCGGATTCAACCATCGGATGTCTTCAAATGGAAGTAAGATCCTGTACCAACGGAATCTGGCAGGGGACCCATCTTTGGCTTAGATAAAGAAGGAATTTTGTGGTAAGAATGGAGCAAGACTTAGCTAAGCTTGTGGTTAGAAGATTGGATTATCAAAGCAGTTAAGACGGACGGTAGTGAACTTAAGGATGAGTTTTATTGTTGGATTTTCATAAGTAAAGCGGGACCGTGCAGCAACAAAGTTTTCAGGGAAGACTTGCCTTTAACCAAGACAAGAACGGACGAAGTTGGACTATCGCCGACTATCTTGGACTTGCTTAATTTTCAAGGTTTGTTGGATGGGTATTTGAAAATTAAGTGTGAGACTCACCCGGACTAGGTGAAAGAGTTTTATCACTATATGGGCGTCGTAAAGGACGGAAGCATGTTGGAAATGACCTCTAAGGTGAGGGCTGTTAAAATTTCTTTGAATGAAAATCGGTTGGCTAAACTCCTTAAGTTGACTACAACCGGAGTTTCGGAGTACTTAAGAGACACTTGGATTGGGACTAAAGAGTTGGATCATCGGGATTATTTGAGGTATTTTTTGGGGAGAACGGACGGTTTTACTCAAGCCGCGAGGCCGGAAAAGAAGTGGTTGACTGGGGAACAAAAGATCTTGGTGATGATTGTTGTTACTGACAGCCTGTTGCTTAATAACAACAAAAGTAGTCTTGTGGGGAGTATTGAGTGTACTTTTGCCTATTTTCTGAAACACAAAGTGGAGTTTAATCTTCCGGCTTTGATGCTTCAACACATGGACTATTGTGTGGGTCATAACCGTAAAAGTCTGCCTTACGGTATGATTTTGAGCTGGATTCACAAAGGAAAGGGTGTGGATGTGAGCCAGTCAGTGGCTAAGCCAGTGGGTAAAAGGGTCTTTGATGCTCTGAATCTCCGACGTTGCAATTTGTTTCAAGTGGAAGGTAATGAGTACATCACCTTGGAAGAGGTAGTCAAGAGACATCCGGTGGAGAGGAGACTCTTAGTGGATCAGTTGGCAATCCCCGTCAAGAAACTGAAGCAGGCAATCCAAGAGTTGGGAGGGAATGAGGAGTAAGAGGAGGAGAGTGACTCCGAAGATGTGGAAAATGCCCGGAGGAAGGAGTTACGGACCAACGAAGAGCATGATTCTATGACCACAGATGAGCGTGTGGTAGTTCTTTTGCGGAAGCAAAACCGGCTCATTGAGGAAGGTTTCTCTTTTATGAAGTCACAGTTTGCCTCCGTGAACCGAAGGTTGACCGCTTTGGAAGCTAGTTCGAGCAAGGACAGAGCCGACGAAGTATTAGTATCGGACGAGGAAGCTACGGAAGGCTCAGATGACGGCTCCTCTCAAGACGAAGAGTGAGGTAACCCTTCTTCAACCCTTGTTTGTTTTTTGTTGGTATCTCTAGTCTTAGTTTGTTTGAAACCTTAGGAGTAAGCTGGTTTGGTAAGTTGTGTGCTAAGCTTTTGTTGCATAGTTTAGATCTTGGTTTAGCTAGGTACTTTTAACCTAGTAGTGGTGTTTGCTTGGTGGAAACTTTGTTGCTTTAAACATTGATTGCAACCTATCTTTAAACCTTGTCACCCGTTTTGCAAGCCAACTGTTATTGTTGCTAAACCTCGTTTCACCCAAGCTTTTGGGATGAAGCTTCTTGTTAGGGGTGGAGAGTGTGACACCCTGAAAATCCAATTCTTAAATGAAATTAATTGTGTAATTAATTCTAAACATTCCTTGTGAATTTCCCTTCCAATTTCTTAATTAAAAGTCGGAGGACTTAAATTGACCAATTCCTTGGTCAATTGGTTTAGTCAAAAGAAAAGACTTTGAGCTTTATAGGTTGTACCTAGCCTTTTGATATCTTCATAACCTTTTAGAATAAGGGAGGGCATTCTAATCCTTTCACCCTTACTTGGCATTCAAGCCTTACCCTAACAAGACTACACTTCATTTCCTACATTTGGCAAGAAAACACTAGACTCTCTACCTTCTCTCTAAAAAACCTAGCTTACTCTCCAAGCCAACCAAATCCTCCTTCAACCTTGCAAGAAAGTTCTCCAAGATTCCAACTTTCCACCTTCAAGACTCTATGAAGGGTAAGATTTTAGGTTATATAGTTATTTTAGTGGGTTTTACCTAATCTTTATCTAAGTGTTGGTTTTCTTTATGTGGTTTGATTGTGTTGAGAAGACTTTGTTGAGGAAGAACTTCAAGGAGAGGTCTAGGAGGTTGAAAGGAAGTGTTCCTTAGGCTACAAAGGTAACACATGCTCTACAAAACCTATTTTATACTTGCTATGATGATTTCTTGCTACTCTATTGATGTTCTTGATGTTCATGAGTGATTTGATGCATAATCTTGTGTTTATGCATGTTAGAGCTTATATCTAGGGTTCATAAATGCTTTTCATTGAGCTATTCATGTGTTCAAGTCATTTCCTTGTTGAATGTGAGGTTTGGGTGTTTTGGACTTGAACTTGGCTTTGTTGATGATTTTTCCCGAATGGAATTTTGAGGGTACAGGTATATACCCGCGGGTGGCTGTCCACCCGCCGTTCCACCCGAGGGTGGAGGAGTTTGTACCGGCGGGTAGAGCCATAGGTGGAGGCCCACCCGTGGTTCCACCCGCTGGTACACGTGAAGGGGATCGGCGGGTGGTTGTCCACCCACCGTTCCGCCCACTAGTACGTGATGCTTTGGGCTCCATTTTGTTGAATCGTTGTGCACTTGTGTGTTTCCTTTGATGTTTTGTATGTCTAGAACGGCGTCCTAAGTATCCATGGTAGGATTATGTGTCTTGAATCGTGCTCATGGTCCAACCTTTGTGATTCGTTGGATTAATGTGAAGTCATTGAGGTTCATTGGGACCATTATGTTTACCCGTTAGATGTATATGCTAGTTATGAAGTCGTTGATACAAGTATGTGTTGTTTGTTCATTCCTAATGAGGATTGGCAACTCGTGTTGCCAATCAAGTTAATCTTGGATTAAAATCTATTGTTGTTATACCGTCGTTGATGGTCTATCCTTGTCCTTCATTGGAACCTATTGATTGGGTCCCTCGATGTGATCTTGTACATATGTTGTACCGGGTTGTTGATACTTGATTGGGCTATTAATGAGCCTCAATCCTCTTGATGATGACTATGTGTTACTATGAGATTGATGGTATTGTTACTGAGCTTTGCTCATTTGATCGGTGGTATTGTTAGTATGATATTTAATGGCACTGCGTGTGCTGAGGGATCGACGGTATTATGATTGGTGGTATGATTGGTGGGGGGCGACGGCCCCATGCGGAATAAGGTTGGACTCGGCGTTTAGGGTGGCACTAGAGGTACAAGTTGGAATTGAGATAAGGCCAGGGGTAGCCATAAGGTTGGAACTTGGAACTTGTTGTTGAATGTGAATCTTGTCTTTCATTGCTTATGAGTATGCTTAATGTTGTCTCTTGATTGATTACATTATGACGTGTCTTGTTGAGGAGTATGTTACTCATGTTATCCTTATTTGATTTATTGAGTTACTGTCGATGTTGGTCTTTATTTGAGAGTGAACTATGATGAGTCTTATGATGTCTCTATTCCTCGTTTTAAAAGATTATATATTGTATTCCAAGTCTCAAATGGTTTTTCTTATATTTATATTATATGGTACTTAACGCGTATTGGTGGGTTACCAGCTTTATTAGTTGACGGGTGCTACCCTTGTGTTTTCAGGTGTTGAGTAGTTTGTGAGAGCGCGCTAGTGGAAGACTTAGATAGCTTAGCTTTCCTCTTTGTTGTTCTAGACTTGTGGCCTGTGAGCCTTAGTTGGGAATTGTTAATTGTTGTTGGATTTTGGTTTAAATAGTGGACTTAGCCTGTGCATCTATAGTTAGATAGGTGTGGCATAACTCCCTCGTACTTTACTGTTAGCTTCCGCTTTACTTTAAATCGAATGGTTAGATTTACCTTTGTGTTTAAGATTTAAATGGTGTTAAAATCGGGGGTGTTACAGACATTATCCAGTACTATCAATCCATTCTCACATGTAAACAGGCGACTCATATACTTATTGGGCGAATGATATTTGATAAAAGTAGGTTTTATCCAGTTGAGCTCAAACTCACAGTAAGTGCAGCGCACAGAAATGCAGGTCAAAACATAATAATCGTGAAAAAAATGAAGCAAGTTCTTCGACTTCTTGTTTTATGTCATCAACAATTTGGGTTATGATAAGGTATTTCAATTTATGAATATTTCTGGTTTTGTTATGAAAAATAATTGACTTAATGTCACCGGAACCCACAAAGAAAACCTTAAATTTTTCATGTTTTAGAGGGAATGTGATTTGCTTACCATCATTAGGTATTATGAGATTCCCTTACCTTTTAACTTACTTTACCCTTTGATTTTATTTACTCCGCGCTTTAAATCTTGCTCCTATGGTCAACATAGGTACTGCAATTAAGCATCTATGTTATATTTTCTTTCCAAATTTTGCGGGAACACAAAATACCATCCTTGTGCACAAGAAGATGACGGACAATAGAACTAAAATAAAACCTTTAAACTTCATATATTGAAATACATAACATAAGTGAGACTTGAGAGTATTAAAGTAAAATACTCATCATTATAACATAAAAAAACAACACTTTAATCAAATCAAAAAATTTTATATTACAGGAATAAGGTTCAAATTGGCCACTGAACGTAACCTGAAAATTCAATTAGGCCACTGAACGAAAAAAAAAAGTACAATTAGACCACTGAACACTCCAAAAATGTGCAATTTCACCTGATAGCAGGTTACCCTCAATTTTAGCAGGTTATCTGCTTACGTGGCAGCTGAGTTGGCATTTTTAATAAATTTTAAATCATTTTCAATAAATTTTAATAATAAATTTTTATTTTAAAAAATTTAAAAAAAATAAAAACGACTTTATTTTATTTTTTATTTTATTTTTTTTCAATTTTTTTATAAAATTTATTATTAAAATTAATTATTAAAAATTATTTAAAAATTATTAAAAATGCCAACTCAGTTGCCGCGTAAGCAGGTAACCTGCTAAAATTGATGGTAACCTGCTATCCGGTGAAATTGCATACGTTTGGAGAGTTCAGTGGCCTAATTGCACGTTTTTGGAGTGTTCAGTGGCTTAATTGCACTTTTTATTCGTTCAGTGGCCTAATTGCATTTTCAGGTTACGTTCAGTGGCCAATTTGAACCTTATTCCTATATTACATGTCTTAATTTTACCCAAACACACAAATCTAACACTACTAGAAATTTAGGGCCCATTTACTAACAGAAAACTATTTTCTGTTTTCTATTCTCTGTTTTCGAAAATTCTCTGTTTTCAATTCTCTGTTTTCTATTCTCTGTTTTTGAAAACTGAAATTGAAAACGTGTTTACCTGTACTTATTTTCGAAATCCATTCTCCATTTACTAAATTAAAAATGTACTACATACATATATTTATAAGTTATTTCGTGACAAATTAAAATGTCATTACAAAACATATTAATTGCAATAATTTAAAATAAGTTGTTTCGTGACGAAATGTGATTACAAAACATTGTAAATAAAATTGAGTACACCATCAATGATTATAATTTGCCCAGAGTGCATTTGTGATGTCCTCACGCATTGTAGCATTTGGTCTTGTTGACTCATATCTAATTGTATGGTATCATTTTCACCACCACTACTACTTCCACCATCATCCAAAACCATGTCTTGCGTTCCGTACATCATACCCAATTGATCATCCTTATCTTCCAACCGAATGAAATTATGTAATGCACAACATGCAAGAGGAATTTGTCTTTGCCTAATCAATGGGTAACCATTAATGGACTTTAGAATTGGGAATCTTGCCTTTAAAAGTCCAAAACACCGCTCAATCACATTCCGCAATGATGAGTGTCGATAATTAAATAGGGCTTGCTTATTTCGTATCCGTCCTTGCCCACGAAAGTCATTCAAGTTATCATCTCACGATCAATTTCAGCCCATTCTAAAGGCTTGAATGAAAGCATTCCATCCGCAGTTTTTTTTACCCTTTCATTTAAAATACTCAAAAATTGTACAACGGCCGTATCGGGCCATTTTGCCTCATCATCATTGGTTTCTGTGACGTTATTCATCTAAGCAAAGGCAAATTCATTCAATTCATAACCAACAATTCTAGCTACCATATTTTATAATCATGAGATAAGCTAGTTGATCAAAAAGGATAATAGCTCTATTTCTCAAATAAACAAACTCAAGTACAGAAAAAAAAAAAAAAAGATTTAGAAAGGATATTACTCTGGAACGTGGTGATGGGCACGATCCAACCGATGATTTTGGTGACTCCGTCTTTTGGAGTGAATAAGCTATGTTATAATCATGTGATATGCCACCTGATGAATATCATGTACATATATCACAACACACTCATGTAAATGTAAAATCTTTAATCCTTCTGCTAAATACAATCAATATATATCATAATATATAACTGTGTAAACTCGCACTACACTCACTGCTCATTGTTTTTAATACTTAGAACTATAATACATTACTCATTATTTGCAAACTGTAGTTCTATGTCATGCTATATAACTGAAGCTTATTAATTGCAGTAAGTATAGATTACAAGTATGCAATACTAATGTTAGGTCTACATTCAATGCGTGTCATGAATGTTACTGTGTCTTGAGTTATACAACTCTATCATAGTAGATCTAGTAGTTTATACTATGTTGCAGTTTAGCACTTTACAATAAATTCTTAGTAAACTATATGATACTAAATTGTCATGTATAACAATGCAATTACATTCAAACTGCAAGTATATATGAATCCCCTGCATAGTCACTCTATTCACACATTTCTCTCTACCATCCACTAGATGAACTACTACTGGTGTATGTTTGGAAAATAATGTTAATCCCAATCACTATCCCAATCACAACCACCATCACCAACCATGCTAACACCAAAATTGGAATCACAATCCCAATCACAACCACCATCACCAACCATGCTAACACCAAAATTAGAATCGCAATCGTTGTTGCCAAAAACAAAGTCAGGATCCCAACAATCTTTGCCTATATCAAAGCTAGCATCACAACCAACAATAAATGAAAGAAAGTGATATGGAATTGTAATAATAATTATACTGATTATAGTCCAACTTTCATAGGTATACACATTCTTGATAACTGTTATAAGTTTTTCTTAATAGTCAAAAAAATCATAATAACTCAATATTATTTAAAAAAAAAAAAAAAAAAAGAGTGGTCCATCCCTCTCTTCCATTTCTCTCTGCACCATCAGAGTCCTCTCTGCAAACACTTAACCTAAGCTAAAGCTCAAGCTACCCCTCCCTCATCATGCCTTCTTCTTCTTCCTCATTTTGCTCATAACTATTTTGACATTACTTTCTCCAGAATCCATTTGCTCCAACTTTATAGCCATGGATAAACAAAACTCTACACCTATCTATCAATTGTTCGATCTCACACACACATATATACCCACAAAAACATTATGTTTAAAGTTTCAGATCGCTGGCATGATTCGATGTACAATCAGGAGCAAAAATTTTCAAAATCTGGAAATCTAACAACTATGGTAACCAAGTTATAATTATCAAAATAAACATCAATAAATAGATTTCAAAAAAGAAAAAACAAAAAAATTTACCTGGTACTCTGGTAGTAGCTTGTGAGACTCCCGATGCTCTGAGGAACGTCGGCGGTCAGCAACACTTCACTTGACGGTCAGATTCACGGTGACATGAGGATTGGCCGGTGGGTGTGAGTCGCAATAGACAGAAGCGCAGCTTGGCCGGTGGGTGTGAGTCAGACAGAAGCGCAGCTTGGCCGGTGGGTGTGAGTCGCCGGTGGGTGTGAACCTTGGGGGCTGTGAGTCGCAATGGACAGAAGAGCAGCTGGAGAAGAAAGTAAAGTAGAGAGCAGGAGGGTAGGTGTGAAGGAGAAGACAAAAGTAATGAAGGAAAATGGAGGGTGGTTGGCTGACAAAGTAGATAAGAAAGGAGAAAAGAGAGAATAAAAAGATCGCTGGCAGGATTCGATGTCCAATCTACTGTTCACGCGCATGTTTCCTATTTTGAAAACAAATTTTTTTTGTTTTCTGATTTCTAACAAAAAACGGAAGATTGTTTTCAAATTTGAAAATGAGAAAAAACTATAGTAAACACATTGGGTTGTTTTCAATTTTCAATTCTTGAAAATTCTTGAAAATTTCCTGTTAATAAACGCTCCCTTAATATTCCCTAAGTTAATTTAACCAAACAACCCCTTTTAAGTAAACCTTATTAAAGCAGTGGGCTACTAGCCCAGTCTCAAGTGCTTGTCCGCTCCTGCTCTTCACAAAATCCCTATACTGATTCTTACGTCGTCGCCTAAGGCCTAAGCCTTGAATTCTCGAAACACTGTATATTGACTATATTCTGCAAGAGAGATTGAACAGAGATTTAGTGCCAATTCTCCACCAGAAACATTTGGTGCCAATTTAGTGTCTCAGCTGTGAGGATCGACAGATGGAAGGAAGGAGGGTGAGGAGGAGCGGGCGAGGACAAAACAATCAAACTCTTTTGCCCTTGCGAGCACGCCGCCTTTCCAACACCATTTCTTGTTGGTAAGCACTGTAAGCTTTATCACTCATAGCCACTGTAGCTGTGGCCTTCATGCGCTGCTTGCTCGTCCCTTCTCCTACCTTGTTTTCTCTACTGAAATTCTATTGCCTATAGGTATTGTGACTTCAAGTTCTCTATGTTGAACGACCCCCTCTTTCTTTTTGGACGACGACACTCTAGGTACAGATTCCTATTATGTTCTCTCTTTGATTAGTTGCAGTAATGTATTCTCTTACAAATATTGTATCTGGTATTATTATGGGTTTTACAACTCTTATGGAGTATTGGCTTAGATAGTTAGATAAACTAAAATCATATATTAGAATTATCTTGCCAAACTCTTATGGAGTATTGGCTTAGATAGTTAGATAAACTAAAATCATATATTAGAATTATCTTGCCAAACTTTTGAAAAGAAGATCATTTTAATAAATATAATCTCAATAGTATGATTAATTAGGCTTTGCCATACCTAACCATTTACAGCCGTGGTAATATACAATTACACTATGTTCTTCTTCTTTCATTTTATGTCCAATCACAACTTGTAATATTTCCTTTTCCCAGGTACTTGAGATCTTGGTTTGCCATGGGGGTTGGTTTTAGTTTGGCTGCATTGCTTGGAGTTACTCTGGTTAATATCTAATTTAGTTTCTATATTACCAAGTGAAAAGAAAAAGAGAATGGATGAAACATCCCCCTAAAACTAATTAGCACTGGTTTATTTTCTTTGACTCTGATATGGTCAGATTCTTCTCTGGGAATTGGGCAGAATTCTGCATCCATACAATGGGGAGTCCCAATTCATCAATTTATTAAGTGGCTCTTTATTTGGTTTTTCTTCTGGGGTATGTCTCATCTTATATTCCATTTTTATTTTATTGGCTTTGAATTGTTCTGCACAATTGACTTCATGTGCCATGAGAAAAAAAGTAAAAGTAATGAATTCCTATCAAATCTATCATTTATTAGACCACTGCTGATGAAACTGGCTCAAAAAAAAAAAAAAAAAAAAAAACCTCTATAACTAAATTCTGGTGTTGCTGTATACTTATATCATGTTGGTAATCACTTTTTGTGAAACTGCCCCTCTAGTTTTCGTTACCACTGACATTCATTCTATCCCCTATTAACTCTTCTTGCCCTTACTTTACTTTTGTTTCAGGATTTTGTTATCTCTGCCAATGCTAAAGTTATATTTGTAGACTTTGGTATCTATATCCCAAATTCCCAATGTCATAAACCTTTGTGTATAACATTTTGCTGCATTTTCAAATTTAAGCAAACCATTTACTACTCTAGATTTTACATCATGTTCTTAGTTTTATCAATATTTTAAACATGCATATAAAATGAGTTATCTGGACTTTGTTGTTGTCAGGACTCTATTGTTCATCTTTTACTGCCTACCAAAACCATTGTATTACTGAATGGATTCCTGATTCCTGGGTAATCCAGTCATGATATCATAAGAATCATACTCCATTTCAGAGAAAAATGTTCTACTATTCAAGTATTATATTGAGTATTTCATTATGCCCAAGAACTCCCTTTTTATTGTTGTAGCTACTCAAGATACCATTAGAATTTTTACATGCCAAAATTCAATCCGAACTGCCACTTCTGGATCTCTCATCTAGTTTAGCAATCTGTGTTGTACAAATATATGCAAAACTATTGATTTAAGGGAGAGGATTTCAGCTTTTGTGTAATCAGTGTTTCGCGTAGAACAAGCACGACATAAATTTTGGCATCAAATCTCATAATAATGCGGTACCAATTATGGAAAACAGAGATTTAGTTAATAGCTTTTGTGTTAAAATGTATTTGGTGCAACTAATTCTTATTGGTGATCATAAATGCTGGACCTTTTGGGGTTACTTGTCGGGGAAGTATTAGAATGATGGCCTTTGTAGTTTGTATTACAAAACTATGGACTTTAGATTTATGGGAAACTTAATTACCTGAGTGTTGCCATAGTTGTAGCTTGGGTTGTATGGG